GAGAGAGAAAAGTCAGTCCTAAACTCTCCCCAGGTCTTTCAGGTTCTTGCCTTTCCTCACAGAAAATAATTTCAGAAGGAGACTCACAAATGAATCTTGGAACAGAGCAGCAACCTGCAGAAACATCTCTGAACTTGCGCCAGGCTGATTTCACCGAGGCATCTCAGATGGGAGCAGCCGTGTGTCTCTGCTTGCTCCAAATGAACACCGGTAGCGTCAAACCTCCAGAACCCGATCACCACCACCATAATGGCCAGTCTTCACAGTCTCATCCCAAGACCCCCACACAAGAGAATGAATCTGCTGAAAAATCCAGGTATGTGGGACAAGTGACTGAAAACTCCAGGCCTCCAGGAGCCAGGAATGGGCTGCTCCTTCCCACCTCCCCACCCTTCCGGGGTCCTGGCTGTCACACCCACAAACTGCCTTCGAGTGCCATTTATGCGCATTAATGGTCATGATCCAGAGACTCACAAATGAATCTCAGAACAGAGCAGCTCACTGCAGAGATGTCTCTGGGTCCCAATTATTTAAAAGTTTAGAATTCCAGGAGCCCATGACCATGGACATCTCATACGTACTATTTTATTTATTTATTTTTTTTTGGCCTTTTAGAGGTCACACCTGGCAATGCACAGGGGTTGCTCCTGGCTCTGCACTCAGGAATTACTCCTCGCGATAGCTCAGGGGACCATATGGGATGCTGAGAATCGAACCCGGGTTGGCCGCGTGCAAGGCAAACGCCCTACCTGCTGTGCTATGACTCCAGCCCCTACATATTATTATTTTTTTAATTTTTGTTGAATCACTGTGAGATAGACCCTTACATACATTTCATACTATTCATAACAAGCAATGCAAAATAATGTTGCTGGTGGGAAGTTGTAATGGTAGTGGAACTGGTGTTGAAATATTGAATGTAATCAATTACTGTGAAAAACTTTATGAAAATAGAATTAAAAAATTTAAAAATTAAAAATAATAAACAGTCAAAGCAAGGAAACAAAGTCCAACCACAGAAAATCCTTAGATAGATTCTAACTGTAGAATCGAGATTGCTGTAAGAGGAAGTGAATGGGGGTGGTAGTAAGGGCAGAGGGAGTCTTAGTGGCTCTCAGTGGCAGATTTGGTGTACTAATACACATTTGAAGAGGAATGAAAAAAATAAAGAATTTCAGAAGGAGATGAGTAGTGAAGTAGAACAGATTTTATTTGGAAGTTTTGAGGAAAAGGGGTGTGTGTGTGTATGTGTGTGTGTGTGTGAGAGAGAGAGAGAGAGAGAAAGAGAGAGAAAGAGAGAGAGAGATCAAGTGAATGAGCTAGAGTGAGAATGAGAGAGCGAGAGAGAGCACAAGAGCGAAAGAGAACGAGATGTACTCAAGAGAGAGAATGTGGGTTTCTCCAGAGGGGAGAGGGCTCCAGTATACACCCTAGTGTTAAAGTATGAAAGTCCACATCTCAAGAGGGGAGATGCAGGTGACACATGTGCTCAGGTATCATGTGTGTTTGGCAGCAACACCTAGTCACAGGTAGCACATGGGCTCTGGCCCCATATGCTCATGCTTCCTTTGTTTATGTGGGCTTTTATAGGGTTTGTCCCAAGTTGCCCACGTATGGCTTTCTGCCTGGGTAAGAGTGTTGCTAAAGTGGTTGTGAAGAGGTAGAGTTGGGAGTAGCTGATGGTCTTCTTTGATAGTCCTTTCCTGGCCTTTGTTCCTGCTGAACCTACACTGAGTTGGGTCTAGCCTACTCTGGATCTATGCTGGTGCCAGATAAAGGTCTGATCAGTCCTTAGTTCCTGTGCTTACAAGGTGAGGTATATACATACATATGTATATATACATATATATGTATATATAATATTTTGGGGGTCACTTTGGAAATCCACTTTTTTTACATTTTCTTTTTTAATTGAATCACTGTGGGATAGACTCTTACAAAGCCCCTCATAATTAGGTTTCAGTCATACAGTGTTCCAACACACATCCCTCCACCAGTGTACATTTCCCAACACCAGTGTCCCCAGTTTCCTTCCCAACACCCCCCAGAACCCTCAACCGCAGCCTGCCTCTATGGCAGGTGAAGTTGAGTTTTTAACAGCCTCAGCGATAGTGGTTTTATTACGTCTGAAGAATTCATTACCATGCTCCCACCTCCACTCCCCAGTCTTCTCTATGTACTGGTCTGCCTGCTTCAATTTTCAGAGGCTTCTAGTTTTCGCCATATAAGCCCAAAGACCTGTGATGCCTGTCCATGACCCTATGCTGCTTGGTCCTCTGCTGCTTCCTTAGACATCTTGATTTTGACCTTGCCACACTAGACTCCAACCATACAGGCTGCAGCCTCAGGGCCTTTACACCTGCTACTGTATCTGTCTAGGAAGTTCTTTGTTCTGGGTAACACTCTGACTATCCAGACATGGAATAGTTCTGGATTCCTCCATCTCAAGAGGAGAAATGCCTTTATCTAGAATGGACTCTTAATTTTAGCTTTGCCAAAATGAGTGTCTTGCCAGCTCTCTGATGCCATTGATGATGGATGGCCTGGAGCTCTTTCCATCAGCTGCTCTTTATCATTTACAATTTCTCTTTTCTTGTTTGTGTAGTGCTGGACATCAAACTTGTAAGGCACGAGCTTTGCTTATCAGCTTTGCTGATGAACATTCCCTGCTCTATTATTCACAATTTCTGACCTTTGTCTTGCACCTGCATAAGGAAAATGTGCAGTGAAATCAGGGGGAAATAAGAAGCTGGAACATGTGTGCCAGGTGGAAGCTGGATCACTGTCAGATTCTCACGAGCACCTAAGGCTGGGTGCACTGGCTTTCAAAAAAACCCTTATCCTTATCTTGAAGTAGAACATATCCTACTTCATCTTGACACGCTATGCTTGGGACACGGAGCCTGGGAAAGCACCTTACACAGTAGCCTTGGGATCAGAGCAGTCCAGCACAATCAGCTCCACCCAACTCTCCTCTCCTGTAGCTTCCAGAGGTGGTCAGCTAGTTACAGAGGGTTCAGGACAAGAAGTTGGGGTGGGGGGCCTAATCCCTTTTCACTGTAGTCTGGGGAAGAGTTTCAAAACAGACTATTGAAGCTCTGGGCAGTGGAATTGATTAGATCTGCCTCAATTCTTGCAACTAACATTCTACCTTGGACAGAATGCAACTTTTTCAGTAGCTGTTTCACTTACAAAGCTGTGACGATAATCTATGAGAAGGTGGGCATGGGAAAGTCCGGCCCGTAGTAACAGACAAGTGAATGAACAGTGAAAGCAAAGTCAGGCCTCAGAACGATGAGTCCATCCTCTGGGACCAAGCTGGTATGTACAAAGTCCTGGTCCAGACCCTGTTCCCTGGGATGGGAGAGGTGTGGCCACAAGCTAAGGAATGCCGGTTACCCCCACCAGCAGAAAGTGGTGGAAAAGATTGTTCTCTAAAGTCTAAGAAGGGAGCATGTCTCCATATTTCAGAGACTCAGTGAATACTTTTACTTGAGCTGAATAAACAAGATTTTGGACAGATGATCTCCAGAACATTTCTGTGGTTTTTAGCCGCTAATTTTGTGACATTTGTCCCTGTAACCATGACAATGACTACAACAGGTGTTTAATGAATCAGAAAAATGAATAGAGGGACAAATGGTAGATACTATGTCCACTTAACTGACCCACAGCTGGGGGCCTTCATATCACTGTATTTGTTTGCTGAATTGGAGACGCAGTTTTTTTCACCCACCTCAGCTTCTATTTCTGTAGCTGGATAGGTTTTACCCTGATTGGGGTGTGTGAGCCTTATGAAGTGATTAAAACAAAAATTGCACCTCAGGTATTCTAGTGTGTATTTTGGATAGAAACTTCTGAGACCAGGTTCTTTACAGACATTGGTCATCCCTTAGGATGACCTTCAGTGTATGAGCTGGCAAAGCACAACTGACCCTTGCTGTGGAAATTAGGGGCAGCCACACTACCCCGCTACCCAACCTTCAGCCTCTATTCTGATCCTTAGAGTGACCCTCTGTCTGTTCATAGTGTCAGAGGCCTGCCCATGCCTGTGTCCTGGGGCTGAGCTGTTGCCTGTAGTGGCCACTTATAACCATGCCAAGTCCAGCTTCCAGGCAACTGTCCCTCAACCCACACCTCCTGCCTCATGGGACAGCTCCTCAAAGCCCTTTGCTCTCAGCATTGAGGAAAATAACTAGCAATCAGTGAGTGTGGAGCTTGTTTATGAGACTGGCTGAGCTGCTGTCCAACCTTGTTGACCCTCTGCCATATTTTCTCTGTTTCCTTTGGGAGAACCCCAGGGTGAGGGATGGGTCGGGGGCTTCTGAAACTCAGAAATTCACCACCTTTGCCAAGTGCTTTTGCCTTGCCCAAATGGAAATAAGTGTTGTTCTGGCCTGACTTGTCCTGGGCACACTTGCCACCTTGATATTTTGGGCTCTGCATCCTCTCACCTGTACGAATCTAGCAGACCGCAAGGCAACTGACTTCCTGACCTGGGAAACCACCAACGGGGGGTCTGCACTTCAGCACGAGGACCTGCTTCATTGCTTCCCAGGGACTTGGCGTGAGATGCTCCACCACAGCTCCTGTTACACCCAGAAGCCAAGGAATTGTTTTTGGGAAAGGGTGGACAAGCCCTCTCAAGGGCAAGGGAGTGGGTTTGAGGCAGGTCACTGAGGGAGGGGCGAGAACAGCTGCCTTGATTCTCTGCCTCTTTCCTCGCCCCGGCCACCCCCACAAGAAGCGAACCGTGTATCTTATTCCTAGAATGTGAGGAATGTGCCGCGGCCTGATAGGCATGAAGCAATCTGCAGAGGCAGGGAGGAGCCTTGCTCCCGCGCACAGGGCCTGACAGTGCAGGACTATGGGGAACTGCGTGCTGGCCTGCCCCTCCCACCCTCCCTGGGCTCCTGCTGCAGCAGGATATCAAAGGCTGTATTGTGCATTGAGTCGGCCTTGGTCCTTCGTGTGACAGGGAGGAGGCGGGAGGAGGGACACCCTTGGGAAGCTGTCTCCTCCCTGTGCTCTCTGCCTGGAGTTCCCAGGGGCCTCTCCTGGGAGGATGGTGCATACATGGGTGGCTGCTTCTGCATCCCTGGGGAGCCGAGTCTGTCCTTGGGCTCAGGTGAGTTTTCTGGGGACGAGCCCTGGGCTGTGGCTTGGCCCTGATGGCCAGCGATTGCTCAGGGACTTGCTGGGCTGGGGCAGCTGCCAGAGATGGGGAGATGGTTGGACTTTCTGACCGCCTCTTTCCCCTCCCAAGTTTCGTGTTTGTCTTTCTGGCTTTGTAAGAAAGGAGTGAAGTCTGGGAAGCATTTACTTTTCCTAAAGTAAAAGAGTTGGAGCTTGTTGGGATCAAGGCTGCTGTTGGCTGCCACTCTCAGGGTGTGACTAAGCGCTTCCTTCCTTTCTTCCCAAGATGCCCTCTGGCAGGAAGCACGCTCAGACACTGAGTTCCTTTGCAGCCCATGGGTGGTCATGAACTTGGCTTCAGACAATCAACCCTATTTTCGTCAGTTACTGTTAACTGGAGAAAAACAGGCAGTTTCCTGCTTCCTACCTTCCTTGGGCAGTGTGATCTGGGGGGGTGGGAGGAGGTGGGAGGTGTGTCTAGAGGAGGCCATATAGAGTTATTGCCTGGAGGCATTGCTGTCAAGTTGCCTGGGAGTCCACTTCAAATGATGAAGCCTGTCATTCGCCGAGGACTGGGGGTTCTCAGGATGCCAGTCAGTATTGAAGCTGGGACGTCCCTGGCAAACAAGCCAGGGGCCATGATGAGCTAACAAGCACGTAACCCCATGCAAGCACCTTCCTTGATTGCAGAGCAGAACAAGGTGGGCCCTATGGCGTGACAAATGCCATTTACAGAATGAGTGGAGGAGAGGAAAAGTGGGGAGGCTTCGTTGGGTGTTAGGAGAGGTTTTTTTCTCAGGGTTTTTGATGCTCTGGTACAGTTCCTGGGACTGGGAGTTAGGGGTGACAGGAGAACTGACCACTAGGGAAAGCCTATTTACTTTCAGACACAGACCTTTCATGACAAACAATGTGAAGGTACTAGGAGTCCTGACAATGAACCGGAAGCAGCTGTATTCTTCTTCTGCTCGACTACCCAGTCTGGGTGTCTGAGCATCTCCCCCTCCCTCAAAAGGTGTGTCTGGCCCTAAAATTACGAGCAAACCCAACACTGCCTTTGACCTGACCTCCAGCAGTGAACACTTCACTTCTCCAGTTGTTGGGGTTTATGAGCTTCTAGATTTCCCCACCAAGCCCTGCTGTCATTGTCTTCCCTGGGAGCAGATATGGCCAGGATGTGGGGAAACCATGAAGGATCATGGGTCTGTAAGCCAGATTTACCAGGTTTCTTGAGCAGACTCAGTTTACCTCCACTAAGGCAGGACACGTCACCTCCAATGGGTGTGATCTATTTCTTTCCTTGTATTGAACAATTCACTTAACCCTTCTGTGTTTGAAATAAGATCTCTTGATCTTGAGGCATAATCATAGCTTCCTTTGTGGGGTTAGTGGGGGTTGGACGGAGCACTGGAGTAGGGGGGAGTGAGGGAACTTTTCATTCATAATTCTTGAAAGCCTCCTGGCCCTTAGCAAATTAACACAATCACTGTTAGGCATGTTAATCACATTCGATGACCCTCAGATGTCATGCTCCCTCTCTGAACAATGAGAAGGTATCGACTCAGTCAGTGGGGCTGTCACAGGGCCTCTGCCCCCCAGAGTCAGCTTCTGCTTCTGCTCCACACCCTGACTTTATCTTAAGACTTTAAGCAAGCCAGAATTCTGCAGCCTGCAAAATAAACAACCAAGCAATATTTAAGGACCCTTTTCCCCTCACTCCCCTCCAGCCCCTCTTTCACTCAATTGGTTGGTTCGTTTGGCTTTTTCTTGTTTTACCATTACTAGAGGGCTGGCATGCTGGATACACATGCTCTCCCCATCAGCCTTCTATTTATTTCTTGCTGAGTCCTTTCCTGTACTGTCCTCCCTCTGGGACCCCACCCTTCTCCTCTGCACTTGTCAGAAACTTTCCTTAGGGAGGTCGGTATGGGTGTGGTGGGTCTGAGGCCTGCTGATATAATTATCCTCTTCTAGGTTTCCCTCTTTGTCCTAGAGAAATGGAACCAAGTGTGAGACACATTCTGGAGAGACATAATGGAAGACATTGAATTCTTATGCTCTCCCACCTCAGTTGAACCTGGATGTCCGCTGGACCTAATGGTGGAATTGGGGATGTTTTTTTAAGTGACAGTAGGGGTTAAATTGGATAAGACAACGTGGAGTCTGTCTTGACAAGCCTTCAGCAACTGTGACTGTTTCATTGCGCATAGGCGCTGCTACCAGGCTGTCATGGATAGGAGTTTGCTCCTCTGGGGTAGGAGTTTGATCATGTGGCTCCAGCTGTGTCTGCTCAGTGTCTGCTTACATGGTGGTGCATGGCAAGGACTGACAGTTCTGAGGCACAAGGCAGGCAGAAAAGGAGAAGGCTCCAGATTGCCAGAGCCCAGCTGGCTGATGAGGATGTGGCAAGTACCAAATGTTGGCTCCGAGGACCCCGGGTTAGTTGTTTTCTCACACATGGGTCCTGCTGACAGCGTGTGTTTCCTGGGATGTTTCTCGTTGGCTTACATTAATCTTCTGCTCGCACATGGTCGCAGGGCGGGTTTCTGGTCTGCTGCCATTCTCTCTGCTGCTTGAACCTTTGGAGATTCTCGCTATGGTCAGCAAACCTATCACCGCTCACTTTGGACCACCAGGTAGCCACGTCAAAGTTGAGCGGTCTAAAAGTTTCCAGAGCTTCCCCTTTATCTTGATTTTTTTCTTGAAATTTGGCACTTACCTTTTCACCCAGAGGCTGTGGGAAAGATACACTTGTCTACCTCGGCTGTAGGAGTTTGTGATTTCCAATCTTTTTGTAAATATGAATCATCAGTATAATAACAGAAGATTGAGGGCACATGCTGACAATAGGCAATGATGCTTTGTAACTGAACTTAAAAAAATGAGGAAGTATTTGGAATGTTCCGATCATAGAGAACTTATGACCCACCCAATTTCAGCCTGTTTCTCTTTTATCCCATACTAGTTCCTGGACTTCTATGTTCCTCTCTCACAGTTTTTCAAGAAATAAAACATTTCAGATCTTGTCTCCCAGTAATTCGTTTCCCTTTCTCCAGCTCCACAGTTAATCACTTTCATGAATTCAGGGCTTTTGTTCTTCTATTACATATTTATGTACTCATAATCATTGCAGAGAATTTATTTTGGAGCTCCTTATCTTAGACAAAGTGTCTTTATACAGTTGTTCCCCCCTCAGCATTATTATCTGAGACCCACCTCCTCAGACAGATGGAGCTGTGGCTCTAATTTGGCATTTATCCCAGCAAGGACAATATGGACTTCCGTCATAATAACTCTGGTGATATGCCCATCAGGTTAGAGAAGGGGAAGTACCTGGGTGGAGAAAAAAAAACATGCAGGGAAATGGATCGTTTTCTGCATCATTTTCTCCTTGGAGCTGTGGGTGGTGGAGTGTGGGGCTGATGGAGAGACAGTGATGGGGGTGGGAGTGGATTCTCTTTTCTGGCAAGTTTCTGGGAGTGGGATGTTTCCTAGACTAGACACTGGATTTCTCAGAGCTCTGAGGTCAGGTTAATGTAGTGGAGACAACACGCTCTCCAACAGTTCAGAGGGCAGGGAAAGATTCTTGCCGACTTGCTGTGTGTGACCCTGGTGAAATCACCTCTCTGGTCTGGGCCTTAGTACTTCTGGACAGCAAAATTACTAGTGGACCCTGATCTCGTAAATCACTTCTAGGAGGCTGGAGGGATAGTACAGCAGCTACGGGTGTGTGCCTTGCATGTGGTCAACCTGGGTTTGATCCCCGATAGCCCATCTAATCCCCTGAGCACCGTCAAGAGTAATTCCTGAGCACTGAACCAGGAGTAATTCCTGAGCACTTTCAGGTGTGCTCACCCCAAATAAATCACATCTACTGTCTGTTTTCTGAAATAGTTGCCTCCTCATTTTAATTATTGTCATCCTTTAGGCAACATGTTTATAATGGAGTTAATGTTTATGGCTTTGATGTACAAGTTACTATCCCTCATACCACCGAACTGCCTGTGGCCCTCTGCCATTGTCTGTAGATTATTTCCAGTCCCCCTCTTCCTTTCCTTTGACTGCCACCCCCCACCACTTCTTCCCTGAAAGTCTGTTTGGTAACCCAAGGTCAAAGGTTTTTCCTTACTCCATACTGTTTATTCTCTTTTTTTTGTTGTTGCTCTTTTACCAAGGATGGTCGTCAAGTATTTGTTCTTCTCCCTCTGACTACTTCTCTTAAAATGGTTCCCTCCAATTCCATCCAAATAGTGGGAAACTGCGTGATCTTAACTCTTTTTATAGCTGTCTAATATTCCATTGTGTATATATGCCACCACTCCTTAATCCATTCATCGACTGTTCAACTTTTGGGTTGTTTTCATATTCTGATGTTTTACTAGGTGCTGCAACAGAGGCAGGTTTGCTTGCTGGGTCATATAAAAGTTCTGTTCTTTTTTGAGAAATCTCTATATTGTGTTCCATAGTGGCCGAACCAGACAACTTTCTTACCAACTGTGAATGAGGTTCCCCCTCACGCCCCAACCCCGGTTTCTTTTTTCCACCACATTCCTACCAACACTGGTGGTTTCCAGTTGTTTTGATACATGACATTGTCACTGCTATAAGATGAATTCTCATTGCCATTTTGGTTTCCTGATAAAAAGGGACAATGAATAATTTTGCAATGCTTATTGGTCACCCATATGTTCTCTGTTCATCTCCTTTCCCCACTTTTGGTGGGGTTGTTATTGAGTTTTGTGAGTGCTTTATATATAATCATGTGTTATCTTGGATATTAACTCTTTATCTGTTGTATTATATGCAAGTATTTTCCACATTCGGTGTCTTTTTACTTTGGATCATATAATTTTCTTTTGCTCAACTATGTTTTCCTCAATGTATTTTATGGATTATGGTCTAATCCAAGGTCTTTAATTCACTTGGAATTAACTTTTGCATGTAGTATGATATATGGATCCAGTCATCCCTCCCTCCCTCCCTCCCTCGCTC